ACCTGCCCAAGGCTCTAGAGGGGGCGTGGGCATCCGAGTACACAATGATTTATATATTCTACCTATATATTCGATGTGTGATCTATGGGGAAGATGGGTATGGGTCAAATTCGAATTCCGCAACGAGGAAATGGACGGTAATGTTCATATATGTGCCTGCTGTACATAATGAACGGATCCAGTTTCTGTTGGATTTACCTGCCTTTCTCCTAGATAGGCCCAATCTACGACTAGCTGCAGACTGGAACACGCTCCTCAATCTTGGATTGGGTTCACTATGCAAAGAGACTATTCGCGCTGACGCCAAAATACTGCACACACTGATGGAGTCACACAATTTGATTGACGCCTGCATAGCACGGCAAACGTGTTCGCGGCCCTTCGCGTTCACGAGAACGCATTTTTGAGGCCTGCAAACAGGGTTCGCCTGGGCCGGTACCGGTCGCCGGCGGGGTTTGGGGGGCTGTTGTGGTGAAGTGTGTGTGTGTGTGTGTGTGTGTGTGTGTGTGTGTGTGTGTGTGTGTGTGTGTGTGTGTGTCTGTCTGTGTGTCTCTCTGTACGAGTGTGTGCACCAGACAGTGCATTGCACAGTCTGCCGCTGTCTGAGTGCGCACTCAGACAACAGCAGACTGTGCAATGCACTTTCTGGTGCACACACACACACACATACATACACACAGAGACGTTCAAGAAAGTGGTTTTCATACTCCCCTTGTGCTTCATGTTGCTTGCTACACAGGCGAAATTGTTTCATTGTTGGGTTGTCTAAACTCAAGGGCTTTCGTTGTGTGTGTGTGTGTGTGTGTGTGTGTGTGTGTCTGTGTGTGTGCACCAGACAGTGCATTGCACAGTCTGCTGCTGACTGACAAAGCAGCACACTGTGCAATGCAATGTCTGCCACACACACACACACACACACACACACACACACACACACACACAGGGGCTCTTTTAACGACTCCTAGAGCAGGGGGGTGTTCAGGGACACAGGCCTATGCCTCCCGACCCCAAAAAAAAGAAGTAGTTTGCGTTCACCAGAATATCCTGCCCGAACATGTTCGCGTTCGCTGGTGAACGCGAACGGCGTGCTACACAGATTGACACATTCAGAGTTTTTCATCCTGATGAACAGACTTACACTTTGTTTGGGTCCCAAACTCCCCCTGTTCGCCGATGATTCAATTTCTTCTTAACTAGAGGGCAAATGCGGGATCAATCCATTAAGCTGGCGATAATGTTCTCCCCTCTTTCAGACCACGTCCTAGTATTAACAGAATTCGATACAAAAGACCCTTAGGCTAATGTCTAGACACGTCCTCCGTTCAGATTAAGTGCAGAGCATTTGAAAGATAAAAAGTTCATCCAATGGGCAAAGAATCACTCGGATCGCTGGGAACATTCAAAACAGTGTCACTTGTTCCCATCACAGGAAAAATGTTTTGACAAGGTGACACCGGGATTAACATACTAAGAAACTACCTTGAGTAGTCTTTTCCAGATCTGAATCAAAGCAATAAACGGTAAATCAGTCAAGCTCAACCTTATTAAAAGAATCAAAGAAGCAGAAGAAAATCTGGGACAACACCCGATCATATCAGATGCATACTGGACACATCAGAGGAAAAAGGCAATAACTGAACTGGATAACAGACAGATCCAACAACAAGAGCAATGGAGAGAGTGGTTACTCAACAGAAAAAAAACATGCATCACCAACGACAGACCGAATCACTATACATTCCACAGACTGCTGCTCCAAAAAATGAAACCCCTTATAAGAGAGCTCAATCCTCAATCACCCCTTCTCTATTTCAGAGTCAGCCTTGGGCCTCCCCAAGTCTGACCCCATAGGTATGACATTGTGTGAAAATTATGCCCAACCAACTTTACTTTCAAGACATACTAACCACACACAGACCGGGAGAGACATTCAACACAGATCTTAGGAACTCTTCCAATTTGAAAGTTAATTCTTGGATATAACCACAGTTGGTCTGCCTCTAGCTGGGCGGCTAGGCTTAGACAGACCTTTCACACCAGAGGAACTCAAAGTCGCAGTAAACCAGATGGCAACGGGGAAATGCCCGGGACTAGACGGGCTCCCTGTGGAAACCTACTCAGCCCATCACTCCCACAAATATACAATTAGCATAATGGCGTTCTAACGGAGGGATCTATGACTAGGAGTATGCAACAAGGGGTCAATGCTCTGCTATACAAAAAAGGTGACGAACTCAACATATTACGTAATTGGAGACCTATTTCCCTCCTAAATGTATCCTACAAAATATTGGCTAAAGCACTGGCGCTACGTCTATGATCTAGATACCACACTGACCTTATTGGCCCAGACCGAGGGGCCTTCATCAAACACAGATCTATTATGGATAACATAGCAGCAACAATGCACGTAGCACGAGAGAACATAAATGTCGACATTCTACTACTGGACATGGAGAAAGCCTAGTATGACAAAGTTGGATGCCATGGGCTATTAAGCCTTTCGTAGGCACTACACTTAGAGATATGGGGTTTGGCCCCAGCTTTTTCCTCTGGACGTATACTATGTAGTATGTACTCCACGGCGACAGCATAAGTAATCATGGTCAATGACAATGTTTCGAACGAATTTTTCCTTAGCTAGTAATTAGATCATGAAGGCAGGGCTGCCCATTGGCGCCCTTACTTTTTGTACTACTAGATGCAAATGGCGTCCAAAGGCTTGCTTGCAATGGATATTCCAACCACTTGTACCAGATGCAAATGGGCATGGGAAACCACAAACCATCTCAGACTGTTGTATGCTTGCTGCTTCTCACTCAGACTTTGGCGTTGGTGGGCCAGGCATTGGGATATCAGTCGGATAAGATAACGGGTGGAATTTTTTTTCCTGGGATGAACATTGGATGATATAAGGCATCCTCCCCTCCGAGCTACTTGCGTCCTCAGGATGGGGCTATATATAGCCCATATAATATGGGGCCATAATGTTTAGCAGTATCTGGGAGGAACGAAATGATCAGGTACTAGGTATTCAGGGGCAATTAACATTCATCCCAGCAGACCAAAAGCAAGCCTTAGGGCGAAGACCTCAATCAGACACCACTCTCTCAGTGACTGGAGAAGAAAAACATCCAACGGTCTCAATTCCAGAAAGGTGAGCTGGTTCTGCGAATCTTGGGGTAATAAGGAATCCAGACTATTGTTTCTGAAAGAGCATGGCAGGCTGGGATTCATCCCCTAGCTCCTTATGTAGTAATGTGTCGAGGGGATCGCTTTAGCTGCTTCTCTTGAGAGTTCTCAGTAGCTCTGGCACACTTGGAGAAATCCAGTCGCGTCTCAAGTATTACACAATTATAGAAAGATTTGGTAAAAAAAAAAAAAAAAAAAAAAAAAAAAAGGGAATGTCAGCTTTCCCTTAGATGCACTTGCACACAGTATATTACTATATTGCCTTGGTTTGAAATTCATTGTCCTCTTATGATTACTTCAAAATTCAAATTGGCACTATAGCATTTTTTTTTGAGGGAAGTACGTTTATGTCACAATGGGAGTTTGAAATGGCCAGAAAAAACACGAGTCCGCGACTTTGTCATGGCCTGAGTTTGGAAAAGGCAGTTGTAACTCAGGCCGGCAGTGGTGTCAGGGTGG